AAAAAGATTAATACCAAGCGAATCCAGTAGAACTTCTACTGGACTTCTAAAATATACGTTCTACTAGAACTTCTACCTGGAATGGATGACAATAGTTGAATAAACTAAATAAACAAAACAGTGCTCTATTTGTTGGAACTCGCCAATACCGATACCACTTTTTTCGTGCTGGATCGGGGACCCGCCCGATATTGGTATCGGTATCGGTGCAACACTACATTAATCAACAAAGGTAACATGACAAAATAACATCAGACATTAAAAAAACTACCTCAGGCAGACGAATTGTAAATTATGTCTTAAAGAAACTGTAAATTGTCTTTCAAAGAGCTGATCTAATTGATACAAAACTAGCTGATCATTTTTAGCTAATAACTATTTGGTAAATGCTCTTTTTCTGTCTTTCTTTGAGGTGTTTGTGTATTCAAAATATGATGAGGGATCAAATTATATGTTTGTGACACAATCCTTGTGAAGTCACAGATCAAAAGTTTTAAGTTTTAAAGAAACTCTTTATAATTTATGTCTCTGCATCAAACTTGGATGATTATTTTGCGCTATCAGCGTTGCTGAAATTTTATAATACTTTGAATTAGGACTAAACCCAATGTTCTACTGCATTTTGCACAATATTTATTTTGCACTAAACATTTTCATATTAATGCCCTTTTGCATCATTATTTGAAACAGGGTTTTTTTTCTACTTTTTTGAACTCTGATTACTGCTGCAATTTATACTGGTAATGTTTATCTTACTCCAGTTGCGATCTCATTACACTTTTGTAACATGTATGCAACAAAATTCCATTTTGTATACACTCTGTGCATGCTAAATGGCAATAAAGTTTGTCTAAGGCTAAGACAGCTTTTAAGAAATCATCTCATGTCTTTATTCCTGCAGCAGATTTCACAGATTTCTGTTTTGTTTTCTATTACTCCACTGCAGGATACCTCAATTAACTGTTTTTACAGCACTTTTATACTGCAAGGTGGTCCACACAGGACTAAAAACCATGCATGCTAAAAGAGACCCATTAATCTGCTGCTCTGCTGTGCCGTCCTGCTCAGATTCAGGTTGTTTCTGAAACAACCTGGTACTGGACTGAAAAAGCGTGAAAACAATCAGCCAAGGTCCAAAGAAATCCTTTCAAAGACTCTCTGCCTTTTTTTGAAGGGAAGATCTAAAGAAATAAGCATGACCCAAGACTTTTTACGATTTCTATATGTTACCCAGACACCTGTAAGCGCACGCTGACATTGAGTTTTATATGGAAACACAGATTCAAATGGAAACCCATCTAAAAGCTGTGGTGAGCTTGTGAATCAAGCCGCGGCACTTTTTAAGATGGACTTGCATGCAGAAGCGGAACACTGTGGCGATATTAGCAGAGCTTGTTGAGATTTTGATTGGAGCTTGTGGTGACTATAAAGCTGGGAATGAACAACAGTGTTCAGCTTTTCCAGGCTCCTGGTGATTTCTAGAGGAAGTAAAGTACCAGATTTGTTTCTTTTAGCTATGTAATAAAAGAAAACCGTCCAATAATTTACTAGAATACTTTTATTAAGTAAGTCACAAACAAAAATACAGGCTTTAGACAAAGTCCAGATATTGTTTAAAAAACAACTCTTTGTAATATAACACTTGCATGTGAACCCTCTTGAATAATAAATACAACCCACCGCAGTATACAATCTCCTAAATATTGTGTGACACAAAAAAGAAAAAGAAAAAAAGGGTCTCCTGCTGAGATAAATCTGAACAGGAAAACAGTGGTTTCCCCAACAGTTCTCAGTCAGTTTTTAAGTGTGTGTTCTGCTAATGAAAGACCCGCTTTTAATGAGATCTGAAAGGATGCAGCTCTTTAAGACACATGCTGAGGGTCTGCAGTGAAACTCAGGAATAGGGCAGTGAACAGGGCAGATGGAGAGAGAGGAATAGTCAAGAAAAGATGAGAAATGGAAGATGTGATGCCTGCCATGTTAGAAAGGAAACAGTGCCACCTAGAGGCCTCATCCAGCAGTTGTTTACTTTAATAACTGGAATTTCTATTAAATTATTTTCCTTGTTAAGAATTATCTGAGAGTTTATCAGACTTATAGCAAATTCATTTTAGTTTTTTTCCTGCAAATATTAGCAGAAAATCTATGCTAAACAAAGTTACAGACACTATTCCTACATAACTTTAACATGACCTTTTTAGGAATAATTTTCCTCTGCAGTTTGCATGTTTTTGCTGAAACAGATTTTTTTTCTTGTTTGTTTGTTTTTCAACCAACATTTATCAGCTTCAAGACAATATCAAATATCCCGATCTGGGCCGCTCTCACGCTTTTTATTAAATTGGACTGTATTCCCAGAAACTTATGATAGTTGCCTTTAAGTTAGGATAAACACACACAAAAAAAATGGTTTGTGTGCAACACATTGGGTTAACTTTAAGGAGAAACATTACTAAGATATTTCTATTTTCACTCAGAATGTGTATGAAGACATTGAAAAAGTTTAAAGGGTAAGAAAAGAAGAACACAGAGACACACGCAGTGGCTCACTCTAAATTAAAATAGCTTTTTATTCTAGAGAAAAGGCAAGAGTGGAAAAGAAAGAATAATAATGATGTCAAAAAATGCCAAAAGAACAAACATTAAAATTGTTTCATATACAACTTAGACAACACATGAAACCGGTTTTTTGAAATAAGAGAAAATAGCAGTTTTTGGCAGCATTCATACCAGCATGTGTGCTAGAAAAAGCAAACAGTTCCCAACGACCTAAACACACCTTAACCAGGGTGGTGGCAGCTTTTTTTTGAGGATACTTTTCTTCAGCAGGAAAAGGGACTTCAGACTGATGGAGGTTCACATTCCAGCAGCAAAACACAATCAGACTTTGAATGAAATGGTTGAAAATAGGGATTTTTTTTTAAGTGGATGAGGGGGAACTTAATAAAGGGGGCCAGAAAACTGTAGGAAAAATTAAAAAAATGTACAGAAATGATTTTTGTTTAAAAATTTTAAAACATATTACTCAACCACTATTATAAAATCTAACTTATAATAATTTATCAGATTACCATAAAAATAACAGAATATTTAGAACTGAACTATGTCAGGGAGGAACGTTCCCACCTGTGCAGACAGGTGACTGAGCCACTTCCATTTAATCTAATTGTGTGAGTCATGCTTTTCCAAATTAAAGGTGAGCTACTCAAAACTAAATATAGGGCATGTCTACAAATGGAGGATGGTATGTGAGACAGATATTAAAGGTCTGCCCTCCAACTACACACAAACATTAAAAAGGTTTGGCTATTATTAACATTTTATTGAAATGTTTGTTATTCCGCTGAGATATATTAGTGTTGAAAAACATGTTACTGTTCTTATGTGGAACAACTTTAATAATCATAATAAATAGGGTTAAAATAATTTTAAAAAGATACTTAAAATAGACATTTCTTTACTTATTTTGCAGCTATTTCTGTTAGTTAGCAAGTTTACTGAGGTTTACATCCTCTGGTTCTGAATACAGAATATTTATTTGCTGGAATTTGGGCCTTGACTCAACAATTGATGTTTCCTGGTGTCATTTTGACTGAACTTTAGCTATTTTACAAAGCAAAAGGGAAAAAACATCTCCGAAATACAATATGATGCGGTTCAAAATTAGCCTCTTTTGTAACCTTGTGTATTACAACCATTATGTCTTACATTGGCCTATGTTATTGCTTTATGTTCTGG